AATACTGTCCATTTTTGTGTGTGTGAGTGTGAGAGAGAGTGGAAAAAATATTCTATCCTGATTCCATCTGGTGATCAATTTATGCCCTGAAGCATGAGGATTGGAAGCCCTTGCAATTTCATGCTTACTAATGTAACTTCACAATTGGTCCCTATCCTTATAATAAGCCAAACCAAAACCTATCTCGGAAGACTCAACAGAATTTAGAAGAGTTTGTATTCACATCTGAATTTTGCAGCTCTAACAGGAACAATATGAACTGGAACCCAGACCTGAGTAATGGTAAATATCACTGGTATCTTGTCTCAGACAAGGGGCCAATGACAGATGCTTCAGATAGACACAAACTCTTCGATGAGGTTGGCAGGGAAGAGGTTAGCACTCTCCTTCAGAAGAAGGTCTGTAATGAGAGAGGGGATTTGCTTAGGTAGCAGGGTTGGACCAGCTGTAGACAATTAATTCCTCCAATCACACTAGAGGGGAGATGTGGACTGCAGGGTGGGGCAGAAGTGTGTCTGGAAGGGAGCAAGGTGAGTTTTTCTTGCCTGCAATGATTCATGCTTTGACTTGGCTGAAGCAAGCCCTATGCTACACTTTAATTTTAGCTGAGCCAAGAGCTAATGGATTTGGTTCTTAAAGAGGCAGGATAGTCTAGATAATTTTCAATGTTTTTTTTTAGAAACATATGCACCTCAAAAGTAATAAAATTCCACCTAGGTGTGCAGAATCCTTTCCTGCCCAGATGGTCTTCTGTGCCCCCTTAGTGAACCTACCGGCTCCACAAGAATACCTACTATACATAACAAAGTTGCAACCTGCTGTCCAGTTCAAAGACCAAGTGTAGGGTTCTGTTTATTGCACTGGAAAACACCTAATATGCAAATGACTAGAAAAGCAGCTGTATTTGTAAGGTTTGGGGGACCTGAGAGATAATTCACTTTTATACAGGTATTGTTATAGTAACAAAATCCACAGTACTCAGAATAACTCAGCTATTGTATTGCTGGAACTGCTTTGGCTCTCTCAGCCTTAAGTGTCATTCCGTGTTATTAGTAAAGTTAGCTGAGCGTGTGCTTTTTTTAAAAAAATGTGATATTTGTAATTAAAACAAATTATAGAGTAAGAGGCAAGATAGCCAGTACTGGGAGCTGATGTTTTCCTCTTTAACCATAGCACGCGCAGAGACCGTGCAAACTCCTCACACTGCTCCCTGACTGTGTGCCTCCTCCAGCTTTGGAGGAATCATGTCCCAGTACATTGTTGTTCACTTTCCATGCCATTCAATTATTGACCTCTCTGAGTTAATGTGGATTGTGGTAGTGGTGATTACTGTGAAACGTCAACATGGGAACTAGACTGAGATAACAAACTACTTATTTCAGGTAGGCCAACAAATTACGACCAGGAAGGAACAACATTCGACCACTAGTGACCTTGGGTCTTACTTTCAAAAGTGCCCAAGAGACTTAAGAGCCTATGTCCCATTGATTTATGCTCCTAAATGACTTGTATGCTTTTTTGAAAATTTTATCCCTGGATCTGAGTTCAAGCTAGTGACCTACTAGAAATGAAAGCTGATACTATACAGAGATGATCAGCAAGTCTAAATCTTTCTATTGAAAACAATTAAGTGGCCACAGATTTGTTTGGCCCATTTAGGGTGTATTACAGTGAGCTTAATGTCTTGGAGAAAGGCATGAGTCATGCCATTGCACTAACTGAGTCTGACCTTTGTCAAACTATAGGCAATAATATTCCTACTCCACAATCTTTTTCTTTCCAGCCCCTGTCTCACCCTCTTCATCCATCACCACAAGCTCCTCCTTTCAAAATCCTGTTGGACAGATGTCGCTCCTTACCCCTTTCGCAAAGCACTCCGATGGGGCTGGACCAACTGGGCTGGAGGAGGCGGATGTTGCTGAGCACTGGTGGTGAGTCACCTTTCATTTGACTACTCAGACTTGCCTTTCAACCAAAGCAGCAAGGGAAGCATTGGGCTAGGGACTAGGAGAGATGGTCTGGAATTACATCTGTGTTCGTTATAAATCTGGAACTTGGGGGAACAGGTTGCCATAGCCACAAGCTGTAGAGAGTTTAACCCTGATGAATTAGGATCTTCATGTGTATTGCAAATAATGGATCTTTACCCTCTTTAATTCCTGTCCCCAGATTTTCATTACCCAAAAGGGAGATGGATGATGTTCTGAAGTGTAAAAACCTTTTAGCAACCTGTGATTTGGGTTTTCACCTCATTTGCTATACATGGTGATTTCTTCCCAGTTCTGTGTCCTGGACAGTTTTATGTAATTTAGTAGTCTCTTTGTGAATATTGCCATTTGAGAAGATGAATGATCAGCTAAATTTTCTCAGAGATCCAGGTGGGAGGTTTGTTTGGGAATGTGACATCAGAAGGAAAAGCTTTTTTCCAATTTGATTCTTCTTTCTGATCAAGAGGGAAGAGAATATCAGAAACCTGAGTACAATCTAGTATGCTGTGAAATAGTTGGCCAAGGAAATTGGTACAAGTCCTATCTCCAAACTACTCTGGAGAAAACATAAGAATGGCCATAGTGGGTCAGATCAATGGTCCATCTAGCCCAGTATCCTGTCTTCCAACAGTGGCCAAGGCCAGGTGCTTCAGAGGGAATGAACAGAACAGGCCATCATCGAGTATCCATCCCCTGTCATCTACTTCCATGAGAGAATGTACTGCAGGGAACAGTCCTGCACTAGCAGGGAGATGAGCTGATGATCTAATAGGTGTCTTCAATGTCCAACCTCCCTGATTAGGAAGAATGACATATAGAGTATGGAGGTTCTTTCCTAAGGGGTCAATATTACTAATACCTGAACATTAGGATTTCTTGGTATGTCCAGGTCAAGAATACCAGCCATGTAGATACATCCAAATATGCCACTCATTGAAACCAAGTGTTAATGGATGGTGGCAGCACAGCAGGTATGAGAAGCACCAGTGGTGAAAGGGTGAAGCAGCTGCTTACTAAAATGAATGTTATTCTGTACTGATACGTTTCTAGTGTGTGGGTGGAAGTGGATAAGCCTTTTTAAGAATGCAAGTGTTACAGGATCTGCATGTTGCCTCTTTAGTCTTGTATCATCCTTTAGTTATAATTAGTCCTCACACTGCAGCTTGGTTTGTTTTTTGTTTGTTTGAGAGACTAGAAAGAGAAACATGCACTGCTAAAAATAATAGCAGGCTGACTATGTCAGTACTGCATTTAGGAAATAGGTTTCAGTGCAATTTCTCTCTCTCTCTCTCTCTCCCAGTAATGCTGGAAGAAAATCAGGTTCCCTGTCCAAGCAGCCCTGAATGCAATTCCATAACTAGAGATGGGTCTGAGACAGAACCCCAGATCTAATCATCTCCAAGTCTGGATCCTGATCTGGAGCAAAACTTCAGTTGGGTGTGGGATTGAGTCCATGGGTATGAATTTCATGTTTTAATGCCCCTGAACGATTATGAAGTACTCTGAGATCCTCACATGAATGGCACAGTAGAAGCACAGCATGGTAGTATGATAAGAGATGTATAGGATCAATAGTCAGTAGGTCTTCATTTAATGTGCTATAGAGTAAACCACACCTCCAGGCTTGCCGTCGGAAGGAGCCTGTCTGCATGGGGAACAATTCATAGCTAAAACTTGTTTTATAAGGTCTAGCTGATTCTTTCTGCCAGATGCTGTTAGCTTCCAAACTGTATCGCTACCCACTGCACATAGAGCCATTGTAAGGTAGAGGTGAAATTGATCAGCAGAGTTCAGATCCAGACTTGTATCTCCACTTTCCCAAAGCTCAGGAGTACTTGGATACAGGGTTTCAGCTCATCCTGTCACTGGCCAGTTTCACAGTCTGGAGCTGATATTTTAGATCTGGGATTTTGGTTTGGGCCCATCTCTGAGTCATGCAGCCATCCTAGGTTAGCATTGAGTGCAACTGCTGTCTGGACTTAGGGGTGGATTGGAAAGAGGGAAATCAGTGTTGTACGTCTCTCAGGCAAATTTTCCGGAATTCAGCTCTTTCCTTCCTGAAAGGGCTGACAGACCCCAGGGGAAGCGAATGAACACTCAGGCACGCACGCTGTCTGTGCTCTGCTCAAGCCACGTGTGGCTGCTGACTCAGGAGCCTGCCTTAGCAGCAGCTGCAGACCGACGTGTGGTGCCTTTCTACAGCTCATCTCTCCCCGTGGATATCACTCCAGGCAAGCATTGTGTGAAGGGTGGACTGGCGGAAGTGATTCAAACCAAACCATGGGCAATATGAGAGGGAAATAGACCTCTCTAAACTAGAGCAAAGGCTTCTGCCCAGAACTGTGCCAGACCCAGCGGGTGGGGGTTGGGAGGAAGAGCTGGGTTCATGGTTGATTAGAACAATATAGCTGAATTTAATAAAAGGTAAGTTATGCTTAAATCATCTCCTCCTAGTTCATCTGTATCTCCTTAATAGCCAGCTGCACCTTCAGGTACAGAATCCTCAGGGGGTGCTCAGTTGTCTATAGGGCCAAGTTCAGACTTGGTGTAAGTGGGTGCAAATCCATTGAGGTGCAATTGTTTCCATGGGTGGACTGGCCTAGGATGCTTGGGATGATGAAAACATCCTGGCTTCTCTGGTGCTCAGCCTTTTAATGGCCTATTCTTGATTTGCGTAGATTAAAGGAGCAGTTACTACTTCAAGGTGTCTCATGTTGCAGACCACCAGGGCTGGGAACCCCAGATTTCCAAAGATGTATAAGAAGTGTTTTAGAACTTATGGTCCTTGAGATACCAGACCTTTAATAACAATGTATTCAGATTATATTCTTCCTGTGCTTGTGGAATAGCATCCTGGCATGTGATCCAGCGTGTCTGCCCCTACCTGCCTACGCCAGATCTGAATTTGGGCCTGAGCTCTTAAGTGATGTCTGAATTTCCACAGCATCCAAATTAGGATACTTTTCTTCCATCTCAAGAGTATGAATTAGGCACTGAAATAAATTTTCTACTTTTTTATTTTTTTTAGAAAAAAGTAAAGCTTGAAGGAGTATTTTCACACTGTCTTGTTTCTTTCATTCAAACAGAACAGCCCTCACCCCACAGACTGAGCCAGAACATGGTGTTTATCCTTTAATTCCTTTTTGTGTGGATTTTGTCCTGCAGCTGAGAATGACCTGGGTTCAAAGACTCTGGAGGTACGCAGAGATGGCAGGAATGGTGGAAGTAAATGGAAGCCCCTGAAGCCTGGAGCTGAACAGCTGCTAGTCAATAAAGTAAGGCATCGTTTGAAATATGTTTTTACCTGCTCTAGTGCTGGCATTTGTCTGGTGCGTACTTAGCCTTATAATCTGACAATATGCTTTAGTAAAAGCTTCCAGAATCCAGAACACAGTTTCTGTAGCAGCAGATTTTTTTTTTTGTAATTAGTGTGGATTATTTTATGGCAATATAAAGATTGTAGCATTAACCTTTTTTGCCCAGTTTAGTTCCCATCGAATATAAATCAGAGGCTTTACAACCTAACACGGGGCCTGGGCCCTCCCTTCCTTTTGGCTGAATATTCCTCGCAGATGGGGGTAAACTGTGTAATTTCAAATTGTCTGTAGTTTTATTACCGTATGCCCTTTGGATTCATTATTGTCGCTATCTCTGTGACATATTTATGTGTCTGTTCTTTCCAAAGTGTTTTGCAAATACAGATGAAATCCGGATGCTTTTCCTTTTGACAGTGTAATCTCCAAACTCACTAGTGAAACCCACTGGGGTTGTGGGGACTAGTCTGGATCTTTGTCTTGGAGTTAGAAAGTTGTGGGCAAGCTATCAAAGAAAATTAGCAAAGAGCTGTGCCAGCATTCCCCGATCTGCATATCACCGCATCTCCAGGCTCAGAATTCTCTTGGTAGCTGCCTCATGCTATGTCTTTGCTTTCTGGAAGTGAGGTTCACTACATGATACATGATACTCTTTGTGACACTTGTCTTTCCTGAGCCTGGCTCTGGGAGGAAGCCCTTCATTGGGAGCTGAAGGTGGCCAGCACATCTCGTGAGAGGATCTTGGTTTGCCTTAATCATGAGCCAGCTACATTGCTAATCCTCTATGTACTGTACATTGAATGATTTCCCAGCTGGTGTGGGGAGGGGAAGCTGCTTTTTACTGATCAGATGGGAGACTCAGAAATAGCTTTAGACAATATGTAAGCAAATCAATTTAGGACCAGAATCAATCTGGTTCTTGCTTATGTTTGCCATGGTGGGGAGTAGGGTAGCTGGAGCTTTCCTCCACGAGCTTTCTGCTGTGTTCAGGCAGGATGCACTTCAGTTGCTGTATTGCTGATTGTTGTGTACTCTGATGTCTCACTGATTTCAGCATGATGCTCATGTGGATGACCGCAGCAAAGAAGAGCTTTTGGAGAACAAGCACAAAAAGAGTTAATTTACCACTCTAAGGGCTTTCTTTTGCAGTGGGGTGAGCAAAGGCTGGGCCAGCACCCATGAACACTAGATTTCCCAGTGGGACCAAGGAGGGAATTACAGTACTGATCATTTACAAGGGACCCTGTTTTCATGATATTTCCAGCCCAGATTTGGAGAGAGAGAGTGAGGGAGATGTTGACCTGTAGTGGCAGGGCCCCAAAAGAGGATAAAGCAACCTTGTACTAGTGTTTGCCTATAGAGTCATGAAAGCTTTGGGTACTAGTCTGAGTGCCCCACTTACGTCTGTGACGGGTTGGATCACAGAAACCCCCTTGGGAGCTGCCACCTGATGTGCCAAGACTACCCCTGCTTCTGTTTTCCCTGCCAGCTCAGGACTCCAGCACCCTGTCTTGCTGAGCCAGACACTCCCGTCTGCTCCAACACAGACCCAGGGTCTGAATCACTTGTCCCAAAGCTGCAAGATTACCTGAAAACAGCTCACAGTAGTGTGCTTGTCTTTAGCACTCAGATACCCAACTCCCAATGGGGTCTAAACCCAAATAAATCCGTTTTACCCTGCATAAAGCTTATGCAGGGCAAACTCATAAATTGTTCGCCCTCTATAACACTGGTAGAGATATGCACAGTTGTTTGCTCCCTCAGGTATTAATACATACTCTGAGTAAATTACTAAATAAAAAGTGATTTTATTAAATACAGACAGTAGGATTTAAGTGGTTCCAAGTAGTAACAGACAGAACAAAGTAAGTCACCAAGCAAAATAAAATAAAATGTACAAATCTATGTCTAATCAAACTAAATACAGATAATCTCACCCTCAGAGATGCTTCAGTAAGTTTTTCTCAGACTGGACACCTTCCAGGCCTGGGCACAATTCTTTCCCCCGGTACAGCTCTTGTTCCAGCTCAGGTGGTAGCTAGGGGAGTCTTCATGATGGCTCCTCTCCTCTCTCCTCTGTTCCACCCCTTTATATATCTTTTGCATAAGGCGGGAACCCTTTGTCCCTCTGGGTTTCCACCCCCCCTCACTGGAAAAGCACCAGGTTAAAGATGGATTCCAGTTCAGGTGACATGATCACATGTCACTGCAAGACTTCATTACTCACTTGCCAGCACACACATATACAGGGAGACTCACAGGTAAACAGCCATCTGCAGACAATGGGAGTCATCAAGATTCCAAACCATCATTAATGGCCCACACGTTACATAATTACAATAGGCCCTCAGAGTTATGTTTTATATTTCTAGTTTTAGATACAAGAGTGGTACATTTCTACAAATAGGATGATCACACACAGTAGATTATGAGCTTTGTAATGATACCTTACAAGAGACCTTTTGCACAAAGCATACCCCAGTTGCATTATATTCACTTATTGTCAAATTTTTCTAAAACTATCCCAGTTACATTATATTGACTTATTATCAAGTTTTTATAAAACCATATAGACTGCACAACGTCTGCTGTCACAACACATGAATTCTTTACACCTGGAAGTTCAGGTGTTTGGGTAAATAGCTGATCCAAACTGAGCCCACTCTTGCGTGTTGCCTGTTGCTATTTTCCCCACAGCTGCTGCCACTGCTGCCTCCCTGCTGTGTCTGTATAATTTTATTATTCCTTTACGTAATTGCCCTTCTTTATCTGATCAGCTGCCTTTATGAAACATGATCTTTAAAGAGGACCCTGCTGCTTTATGTCTGGTTTTCGTGATAGAAATGGTTCACTGGTGATAACTCATGTTGACTACTCCGATTTCCTTGTTTTGGATGGGTTCTGCAGCTTTCACTGAACACGTGCAGGGAAGGGTTATTGGCATTTAGGAGTCACTGTTAGCCCACGAAAGCTTATGCCCAAATAAATGTGTTAGTCTCTAAGGTGCCACAAGGACTCCTCGTTGTTTTTGCTGATACAGACTAACACGGCGACCACTCTGAAACCTGTTAGCTTTGTGCCTTGATTGCCACCTTCAATTACTTCTCTATTTAGTGGACTGAAATATAATCCACAGAGAAGAATCACATTCATTTAACCAAGAGTCAGATCAAGATGGTCAGCCCTTAATTTCTGCTCACATCCCTTGGGATTACAGTCTCTTCCCAGAGGGGTAATTCTGTAAGGAGATTCTTCCACGTTGCTAGACAGCATATCTTTGGCATTAATTGGATGCAGAGTGTACGTGGAGCTGAAAGTCTCTGCCAGGTTACGAATACACACAAATCAAGAATAGAAGCATGAGCTGGTAGTAAAAGCACAGAGGTGGGCGTTAGGACACAGCTCTGTTCTATTCCTGACTCTGACATTAACTCACTATGTGACTTTGGTCAAGTCACTTCACCTACCTGTGCCTCAACTTCCCTGTCTTTATGATTAGGATAATAAGGGTTTCCTACCTCGTGTGTGTGTGTGTTTTATGGCTTAATTTGTTAAATCTGTAAAGGCTGGGAGGCTCAATTGAGGGACAAACTATTATTGTAATTGGAGGGCCAAAAAACCTGAAAACTCTTTTCTTCCCAGAGTTTGTGGCTGTTTGGCCTATTACAGAGGCAGCCACAAAGCTCAGATCTGGATTAGAACTTCATGTGGTGCCCAGAGTTGCTAGACTTGTTACAGAGGTGTGAAGATAAGCTCCCTGTCCCAAGGAATTTATAATCTAAATAATTTAGAAACCTGTTGTTTAGATTCAATGTTTTGGTGTGAGCTCCACTCTAATTATTGCAGCAAGCAGCACTAACCCAACCTGGTGGTGAGAGTTTTGTCATACCTTCTATCTAAAGCATGTGAAATATACACACAGGGCCGGCTCCAGGCACCAGGCACCCAAGCTGGTGCTTGGGGCGGCACCTGGAGGGGGGCGGCGTGGCGCTCTGGCCTCCGGGGGGAGAGCCGAGCCCCAGCCGGGGCTCGCCGCCCTCTCGCCGCCCTGCCCCCGGCGCTCTGGCCGCCGGGGTGGGGGCGAGCCGAGCCCCCGCCGGGGCTCGCCGCCCTGCCCCCGTTGCTCTGGCCGCCGGGGTGGGGGGGAGAGCCGAGCCCCTGCCGGGGCTCACCGCCCTGCCCCCGTTGCTCTGGCCGCCGGGGTGGGGGGGAGAGCCGAGCCCCCGCCGGGGCTCGCCGCCCTCCTCCCAGGGCTCCAGCCGCCCTCCCCTCCGGCGCCCTCCCCCCGGCCGCTGGAGCTCCGGCTGGCCCCCGCCCCTGGC